GAAGGTCACTTCGTTAATATAAATTAGAAAAAGTATTGGGCCAAGAATAAAGCATATTTTGACGAAAAACTCGGAAGCGGCTAGTGAGATACAGCTTTTTGATAAAAGCTGGGGGAAAAGGGGCGTAACCACCCTTTTTTCAAACCCCCTCCCCCTCGCTTTCAAATATTTAGTCTTAAAATATGTATCTCATTAACTGCTTCCGAGTTTTTCTTCAAAATAATATGCTTTTCTTGTCTGAAAAAATCAGTTCTACAACATAAACAAATGTTTCTTTCGGAGCCTCTATTGAAGTTGTCGCTCTGCTGCTATGTCAACGCGTTTCAAAGAGTAGACCCGTAGAGAAACAAGGTATGATTGATCACAAAAATAGAGAATGTCATCATGCATGATGAGAATGTCCCATGGATAACAATAATAAGGGTTCTTGTTTATTTCAGACAGGTGATATTTAACATTCCCTTGAACAAATGAACATAGGAAGTCTTCCATTACCTCCGCTCATCAAGAATAGGTTGTATGAAGCTGGGTTTGTCATCTTCGATGATTTGAATGGGTTAAAACCATCTCAACTTTCAAGAGGTAGGTCCCTCCTAGAGGCGCCTACTCTACTACTAGGCCAGCCGCGAACTTGTGTGTACTTTTTGTGGACGAAACAAAGGCAGTCTAGGCCTTGGCGAAGGCCGGTACTCGGGTCTACCAGGCCTAGGCCCTAATGCCTATACAGTATACTGACTAGTTAAGCCTACTCTACTTATATTATAGGCCTGTACTATACAGTAGTAGCAGGCCTATAATTATAATAGGTTATCCAGCATATAAACAGTCTTTTATTATTAATTTTTTAGATTATTGATTTATTAATTAATTAAAATTTGGATAAAAGAAGTTTATGATGACGAGGCTGGCAGTTAATTTCATGTTCATAACGATAATTTTATGCTGCGTTCTCATATTTTTTAATCTTCATTAGTTGCTATGGAAACTGACAAACTTACTACAGAAAATCCAAGATTTTAACAACAGATTAGATTACTGAAAAAATAACCCAAGAAAAGTGAGCAATCAATCAATGTCAGATACTTTTTTTTTACATTTCACCTTTGCTTTATAGTAACAGTTCCCACTCAGTGGTGGCACCAGTAGGGGGAGGGGGAGTAGTCGGACAGGCCTAGACTGCCATTGTCTGAGGTCGTCAGATCATAAATAATAATTTTCCTATCCAAATATGGTTATTTGATTGCCAATCCTTGATATTGTAGTCTGAAACTGGAAGCACTATTTGCACCACACTACTAGGCCATAAAAACTCTCCCCGTGAACCCTACCTACCAGATATTTTTATTCCGGGACCCTGACTGATGCCCTAGTCAGCCCCTTGGTTTGGACCCTTGTCAGCATGTTGGCAAAAGTCTGGAGCCACCGCTACTGAAATTCATTTTATACCAACTTTTGAACTCTGTTGTGTGATAATTAGTAAAGGGATAATTAATAATAATGTTGATTTTTTTGATGACTTAATAGAATTTTTTTTCCCTGTTTTCTTTAAAAGAAATTGATTGTTCTCTAGAAGAAGCGCACGAGGTGTTGAAGACACTTGAAAATGTGACAGAAGCTCGCTTCTCATTAAAACATGGGAAGACCAGTAGCAAGACGGCTCTTGAGATTCTCCAGGAGGAGAGTAAGCTACCGAGTGTCATTACATTCTGTGAAGAGATGGATAATATGCTAGGGGGCGGTATTCCACTCGGGAAGACAACAGAAATCTGTGGTGCACCAGGTGTAGGTAAAACACAAATATGGTAATTATCTCCTTATTACAATTTTGAACATTGATGTATTGATTGATAAAATAGTGAATGTAGATGAATAATTTTTGAGGCAAAAATGATTTGATCTCAAGACCCTCTAAATAGTACGGTAGGTCACATGCTGGGAGGCCAAGCTTGTATATTCCTTCTGCTTCTCACATTAGGACACATTTTTTGCATAGAATTTAAGGTAGTATTATACCTGAGGAGACTATAGCTTTTTCTCAAAACTATTCATGGCATACATGGTTGGTTATTTCTCCATACTAATTCAGCTCTTATTTTTTGAAATGCGCTGGCGGATTACTAGCATAGCCCTAAGTTTTGCGTGGAGAATAGGCCTAGGCTAGCTAGGCCTAGGCCAAACCGATCTATTTAGGTGTGTTATAAAACAGATAATGAATGTTTTGTATTCGTACAATGGAAAGAATATTTTCATTGACTGTTCCATTCAACTCATGAAAATATTCTTCCCATTGCACTCATAAACATTCATTATTTGTGTAATGAAATTTACTTAACAATCATTCTATTTTGTATTCATACTAATAATATTGTTATAGTATTCAACTAGCTGTTGATGTACAAATCCCAGAAGAATTTGGTGGGCTTGAAGGGGAGGCGATGTATATTGATACTGAAGGGAGTTTTATGGTTGAAAGAGCATCAGAGATTGCAAAGGCTGTAGTGGAGCATTGTGGAAATGTTGCTGCAAGTCAAAACAATAATGGTAAGTGAACATGAACGAGAAGTCTGTCATGGGGTGTTATTAGTAATACTGGGGTGGATGCAAGGGGGTGCAGAGAGTGCGACCGCACCCCCCTAAAGATGGGTAGAGAGACACAGTATCCCGGCATGCTGGTCCAAACAGTGTACCGATTAGTGACAGTGTACCGAGCAGCAATGATGTACAGTACCAAGAAGCGAGACAAATTTGAAGTGACCCTTAGGGTCAAGGAATGCATCAAGTTCCATCGTTAGGTTTGATGAATACTGGCACTATCAAACAGCCACTAAATTATGATTTAAAGAATAATTTGTTAACATGTATTTATCCATTGTGTTTCTTGCTGTTGTAGTACAACTGAAGTCAATGGAAAAGTTCACAGAAGATGGTATTCTTGCTGGGATTCATTATACAAGATGCCAAGACTATATTGAACTCATTGCTTTCATCAACACCTTGCCAAAATTTCTCAGCAACCATCCTAAGGTTTGTTAAATAAATGAATCAGATTACCTGAATGTTTACCTCGCCTCGCAACATCACAC